GAGACCCCCCAGACTTCTGGATGTGTTTTAACGCACATTTTTAAGGATCGTTCAAGAAGGAAGGATGTGTGTGCCCGCGTGTAATGTGTAGCTTCAATTAGACACTTAAAAATCTCACTTGGATTTTTTTTTCACTCATTCAAATTGTCACATCTTGACAGCTCTGTGCAGATGTATTCCCATCAGCTTAACAATAGGTCACCTTATTATTATTATTTTTTTTAAGCATGTGGTCAGCCTTTTTCGGAACTTTATGATTAATTCATGTGAGTTCCTTTCCTTATTTAAAAATATTTAGCACTTAGATAGCGCTTTACCTTTTCAAAACGTGGTGCAAACATTAGCTGTTTTTCATTCAGCTATTTTATCTTGCCAGTTGTTCTTTCTGTTTTGAGTGTTAAATCTGTGTTTTAAATCAAAGTAACAAATCGTTCAAGTAATATAGCATTACCTCCTATTGTGAAAATGTGTTTTCCCATCAGTTGATTTGCTTTTTTAATCTCATCCTTACATTAATTTTTTGGTCCTTTTCAGTTCTCTCTTTTAATTTAATTTGTCAAAAATCTAAAAATATAAACAAAAATATAAGGTTTAAGTAATTTAAATTGATATTAATTATAATTAATTATATTATATTATCAACCAATTCTGCAACAGTGGGAGTTATATGACTACCCTATCTAAACTATTTTTGTCATCTATTTAAAAACAATTAAAATAATTTCTATTGGGCTATATATTTAGGCAGCTCTTTACAAATATAGATAAGTGCAGGCTAGAAATATTAATGTAAGTAAACACATCAGGAGTTTTATCTTTTAAATCTTTGAAACAACCCTGCGCTAGCTAAGGCTAAACTAGTATTATTTGTATAGTAACAGCATTGTGGTAGATCAGTGGTTTTCAACCTGTAGTCCACGGACCCCTGGGGGTCCGCAGACTATGTCTAAGGATTCAGCAAAAGGTTGTCCTTACCTTAGAACAGGGGCTTTTCAACCTGTGGTCCGCAGACTATGTCTACGATTTCCAAAGGGATCTGCACCGCCATTTGAAATTTTTTAGGCAGCCAGCAAATGAAAAAAAGGTTGAAAACCACTGTGCTAGAGTGCACACTCAGTGAAGAGCTTGTGTATATTTTATTTGGCTGTAAAAAAGTGTAGCACCAATAGGGCGCTGCATGTGCATAATATATAAATGATTAATAATGAATTAATAATACCTGAACTAAGCTATTTGCTGGACTATCTATATCACCCTGAAAAAAAACAACAGGGAGTCCTTAAAGACTAACAGATTTATTTGGGCATACGCTTTTGTAGGTAAAAAAAAAACGCACTTCTTCAGATGCAAGAAGTATATACATCTATATCACCCTGGCATCTATGGAAGCATCATCACACCATCCAGTGCTTTTACCTCTTCAAACGTTCACTAATCGGTCCGTGGAAGAACTGATCTACTGGTTTCAGAGTAGCAGCCGTGTTAGTCTGTATCCGCAAAAAGAACAGGAGTACTTGTGGCACCTTAGAGACTAACAAATTTATTAGAGCATAAGCTTTCGTGGGCTACAACGCATGCTACAGATCTTGCATTTGCAGGCAGGGGGACCGTCCTCTGCCTCTCTAAGTTCTCCGAGCCCACTCTTCGGGTTAACAGGGAGCAAAGCCAGTCCCGTTTTGACTCATTCGAATCATGCAACCTTGTGAGACGTGAGCCGCCCAAGGTGGCACTTGGTTCCAGGGTCGTTTATTAAGTCACAGCAACAAGCCACAGAGGGTCCTGCGGCACCTTTAAGACGAACAGAAGTATTGGGAGCATAAGAGGGTAAGAACCTCACTTCTTCAGATGCAAGTTTGTGTCAAAAGAACAGGAGTACTTGTGGCACCTTAGAGACTAACAAATTTATTAGAGCATAAGCTTTCGTGGGCTACAACCCACAACTTCGGATGCAGAAGTTTGTGTCACTTTCCCTCCCCACCAGGTGCCAGCCCTCCCAGCCCCTTTGCAAGCGGGACCAAGTGACAGCGGGAGGCGTGGCCCCACCCAATGGCGTCTCCACCCCCTTTTAAATCGTTCCCCTCGCTGACTTCGCACCCACTGACCAGGGCGAGCCACGCCCACCCCCCGACCCCCCCCGCCTCCCGCGGGCTGCACCAATCAGGGCCCTCCGCAACGTTGATTGAGGCAGGGCTGCGCCGCGTTGCAAGGGCTGGTTCCAGCCCCGGCCCCCTCCCCTACTTGGAATGTTGGGCCTTATAAGGAAAGTGTCTCCATGGCCACATTGTCAATGAATTCCACTGTCAGAGTTCAGCCGCTCTCCACGTGATCCTCCCAGGGACCATCTTCGAGGGGGAGGGGGGGAAACTGACAAGCCAAAGGGCCATTCTTTCACTTTAAAAGTTTGTGTGTGTTGCGATTTCCCCCCCCCTTCCTCCGCAGCCCCCCCCCCCCCCCCCCAAAAAAAACCCCCCTTGCTTCTCTCCAAGGAGGGGGAAGAGGAGACAGAGGAAAATTCAAAAGGTGGAATCTGTCTCCATCTCATTTCAGATCTTGACTTTTATGAGCCTGCAAGTCATACGCAGACACACATACACCAAAAGGGGAGGGGGGGGGGAGAGGAGAGAAAATCTTGTGAAATGTGCGTGTGATTAATAATCTAGCTTTTAAAAGACACAAAACAGACCATCCTTCCCCAAGGCTGAGACAGAAGAGAAAAGACATTGCCTTTCACAAGGTACAGTACATCTCTTTTAAATGATCTCTCTCTCTCTTTAGCTCTGCTCCCATTGTTCCCCCCCCCACCCCACTTTTGCCTCTTCTGGACGCGTTTCTTTTCCAATTTACAGAGTTTGGTACATCTTGACCCCCCCCTCCCCCTTCAAAATAAAATCACTTTAAACAAAATGGTCAGGGAGGTCTGCTAGAAATCGAAGCGAGAAGAGAAAACGAAGGGAAATCTTCCTATTCAGACGAACCAAAACGCGCACAGAAGTATTGGCAGATAATCGCGGGGGTGACAGAGACGCGGAGATAGTCCCTTCCATAAAGGGAAGGGAGAATCGGAGACGGATAAACTCCGCAAAGCCCTAGCGGATTTAAACCCTGTCTTATTTTTTATGTTATATTTATTTTCCCCTAACCCCTTTACGCCCAACTTTCCCGCCTGATCAGAGGCAGTGAAATTGACGAAAGAAACCGAGCGCGGGGCTCTGCATCTAAAAGCGAATTTGGTGGGATATCTGGATTCCTATTTGCATGAACTGAGGATAAGCGAGGAATCATCCGCTCTCCCAGTGACTGCAGGATCCCTCGGTGCATGGGGAGGGCGTGTGGTTTTATTTTAGCTCTTGGCGACCGGTTGTGTTTGTAATTAGGGTTCTCTGGGGTTGATTAGGAATTGATCGCTTTTAAATTTGGATGCACGTGAAGGGGGACCGGGGGAGAATTTTTTTTTTTTTTTTAGATCTGTTGCCAACCTGCGCGGTGTGTGTTTGGCTTCTGGCATTTTATTCAGCTGGGTTTGGAAGAGAAGCCACGGTCCAAATTGGCTGAGAGTTTATTGTGAAATACTTAACGCTTGGTAGCATTTTGATGGGTTTTTTCCCCCCTCTCTCCCCCCTTTTCTCCCTTTCTCTGTCTTCCCCCCGCCCCGTCCCAGATCCGTAAGGAATTGGAAGTCCCTTGGGAGTTTCTGCGTCCAGCAAAGTTTGGTTGGGGTTATTTGAATGGGGTGGAGAAGACAAGAGCGATGGATTTTTGGTGTGGCTGAAATGACAATAAAACCCTCCAGGAATCTGGCTTCGTCATTTTAGCTCTTTTCTCCCCCCCCCTCCCCGCCCCTTTCTCTCTGATTATAATTCTGCTCTTTGCAAAGACCAAATCGACGTTGCAAATATTAATTATTTGTTATTATAGATACACACCCAGCAGGGAGAGAGAATTTAATCTAAACAAAACCTTATTTCTCCCACTCCCCCCACGCCAGGACAGAGAGGGTATTTTTAAAAAGGAGGTTGTTGTTTTTTCTCTCTCTCTCTTCTCTCAAATCCTCCTCTCAAATCGTGGAGAGTTTGGGAGCCACGAAGAAACGGACCGAATTCCATTTCGATCATAGAGGAGAGACTTCAAAATACCACCCCCGTTTTATTGATTCCTGTCCTTGCTGGGTGGATTAACTTTCTCTCTCCTCCTCCACTGACCTATCTGCTCCCCTTCCCTTCTTCCTGCCCTCGCCCCGATCCCGAGTCTTCTCCTCCACCACTCCTTCCTTCCTCCTTCCCCCCATCCCGAGTCTTCTCCTCTACCGCTCCTTCCTCCTTCCCCCCATCCTGAGTCTTCTCCTCCACCACTCCTTCCTTCCTCCTTCCCCCCATCCCGAGTCTTCTCCTCCACCACTCCTTCCTTCCTCCTTCCCCCCATCCCGAGTCCTCTCCTCCACCACTCCTTACTCCTTCCCCCATCCTGAGTCTTCTCCTCCACCACTCCTTCCTTCCTCCTTCC